CTGCATTTTATGGAAGAGGATTATGGCCACATGAATTTTATTTATTTTTCCAAAAAAAAAAGATTTGAGAAAAAAGTCAGAATTCTGAGATTAAAGTCAGAATTCTGACTTTTTTCTCAGAACAAAAATCCTCCCAAAAAAATCATTCATGTGGCCCTAATCCTCTTCCGTAGCATTTCAACACCAGTGATATCATTTGTGTTTTTTTCTGAACTCTTTATATCATGGCATAATATAGTCATCCATCACTTCTTAGATTTCTTTTATTATTTGTAACTTTATGTAAAGTGATTTCAGGTAAAATGTAATGGAATAATGTGACAACTATATAATGCAGCGTTGTTGGTTTTGAGAAAAGGTTTTTCAACCATTTGGCAGCAAAATGAGATACCCTTGTCCTTTTTCTTTTTTCTAGCTTCTGTCGGCGCCCACCCCGTCCCAACAGTGTGCAATGGGAGAGAAATTGTCGACTCCACTACTTCCTCTCTGTGACCACATCCTATCCTCTCTAAATCAGCCCCTGCGACTGTTAGCCAATCCATGAACATTGATCCCCTTGACCGGCATTCCCCTCCCCATTCACACACACTACATACACTCAAAACTCACACATGTACACGCACGCACAAAAACACACACACAAACAAAGAAACAACCTTCCTTGTGGACTAGAACAGTATTGTTTCAAAAATGTAGAAAAATGTGTAACTATAATTAAAATATTTTCTAGGGATGTACATGAAATCAACATTGTTGTAAGTAGAGAAACAAAAGAACAAAAAAAGTTTTTAGGAGGAATTTTTGGAGCCTTTGTTTTTGATAGCTTTGTTATGATGCCGTGTAAATAGACATGCGCTTAAACATGGTAGGAGGGTTGTGTGTTCCTCAGTCTGGATGCACATGTGTGGCTCCGCTTGCCTCACCTGCAATATCCCACAGACTTTTTATTCTCATGCTTTTTTGTAGGTCTCATTGTAATAACCAATAATGTATGCATTTCTATTGTGTATCTGTACATTTGTATATTATACTACTGATGGTTCAAACAGCACAATGTTGAAAGTTTTGTTCCCCTAAAATGAATGTGGACAAAAGCAGAAGCTGGATGGTAAAGGATCCACCTATCAATTTACACTTACTGGGCCAGAACCCAATTTTCAGTTTGATAAATCATCTGTTCACGTCTTGATAGATTTTCTTTGCATCCTAGATCTGTATAAAGAAACATTGTGGCTGTTTTTCAGGAAAAATATGTTTTGCTTTTGATACAATTGTTCATTTTTCTATTTCTAACCATAGAATCCCTTTACCTAAACGGCCATAGTTCCAGACATGTGTTCCCCAAGGCTGCAATATTTGCACTCCCACTCTCAAACTGCCTGTTTCTTTAGAGGACTGCTGTAATGGATTGCTATTAGCAACTCATAACAAGGCTACAAACAAATGTTAAATCAAATGCATTTATTTTGTCTCAAAACTGTCAACACAGACAGTGCTACAAAAGTTCTGCCAACAAACAGAAATTGGTGTCTTACCCAGTAATTATGAATTTGTGCTCATATGATTCAAACACTAATGAGAGGAATCTGTCTGCTTTGCCGAACACATGTTGAATCTTTCCGACTACAGGGGAGTGGTAGCTTATGTTTTCGTGCCCTGTAGATACAGTCTGTGGTGATGTTTAAAATATGGCTATGTGCCTTAATGTATGTTTGGTAGTGTTCAAAGTAGAGGTTGAAAAGTGATCAGTTTTACATTACCAACTGCAAATCCTTGTTTGGTAAATGTAAAAGTGACCCCAGTATATTATCTGTTTCAGGCCAAAACAATGCCAGTTAGTTTATCCCCTAGCGAGCCTTTCGCTATTGATTGTTTACCTGAAGTGTTAAAACAGTGAATCTGAGAATTGACTTTCTCTACCCCCCTTCTTCTCTAGTCTGTGATTAAAAAGCATCAAATGGACATTTCTGATGGACACCCATCACACTGATTTAGCATTTTTCAAAGTTTAGCGGCTCCAGTACAAGAAGAAAGGGGAAGTGAAAAGCTCATATACCATTTTGATGAAGTCTTTGACTTGTCGACTTATTGAAGTGTGCAGTTTACATCTCTGTGTTAAATGTGTTGACGTTGAGAGGCACAGTGGAGCAGCTGGCTGCGGCAATCCCAGAGAGGCTCATGAGAGGAAGCAAAGCACACGATGTCAGCTGCTGGCTGATCCAATCATCTAACAAAAGGATGTGAGGGTAGAACTCATATGCACAACATACATAACACTTATCAAAACATCCCATCAAACTCTGTCTGTGGCTCGAAATATGAAAGACTCTCTGATGGGCACTTATGAGTTGGTTCAGATAAATGACAAAAACATGAATTAAGTTTTTATGAAGTAGATTCAATTAGTGGAATAATTTAGCACTACATCATAATTGATTTTAAAGGGTGGGCAAGAATGTATTGCATTTAGTACATTATTAATAAACAGATTTTAAATGGATAAATACTATAATATGCTGTCTAAAAGAAAATGTGACTGTTATACTTGACATTTCTAACAAAATATGTGATCAGAACCACTTATTTCCATCCCAGAGGGGCATTTGAACTGTAGTTTCTCCATGTTGAAATGTGTGTACAGGCAGAACATTCATCTATTGACTGGTCTACACCTTCACACAGCCGCTTTCCTACGGCTCCCTGTGATTATCACACTGAATGATAGATTGAAAGAATTTTAGAGGATGCGCCAAGACGAGCCGACCTACATTGGGGTGTGTGTGTGAGGTGCAGAGAGCGGGAGGAGAGTGTGATGTGGCAGAGCAGAGGGGAGCTGCTGCTGGATTATGTAAAGCACTCCCACAGCCCAGAAGTCACAGCGCTTCTATGGAAGCTCAAAGCATCTCACAGATTCAGATTCTTTGTTAGCAGAAGGCTTAGCCATTCACTCAGTGGTCCTGCTCCCACAAGATACACCCCGCATGGCAGGTTGCTATGGACAACCACCGCCACATCCGCTGCCGGAATGTCTATTTGTCTGCATGAAGAGGAGGGTGGGAGGAGGGGTGAGGAGAGGGCGAAAGAAGAGGAATAGAAAGAGTAAAAATGGGTTGCTGGTTTTGATTCAAATTGGGCAGTGACTGATGGGATTTGGCTCAGCAAGGCCCAGTACTCTACTCCCAGTTTTTAATGGCAGCACAAATACAGCACTTAACCCGGATTCTCCTCTCATTTAGTCCAGGGGACTAGTCTCAGACAACAGTCTCACACTCTTCCACTGACCCTCTCTCTCTCAAGCCACCTCAGCCCTTGAACCTTTCCCCGCCACCTTGTTTCCCCACCTCATCTCCACTCTGTGAAGCTTTGGTCTCAGCCAAGACCACCTAAAGCCAGAGCAACAGACTGGTAGCCCTCATTTAAACTGAAGCACTCAGATCCGGGTGCGCACTACAGCACATGCCAACGGGGCGGCCTTGAGGAGGTGGGAAAAGGGATAAGGGGAAGGTAGATAAAGGCTTTAGAGACTGTATGTGGAAAAGCAAATGGGAATCATATAATAAGAAAATGCATCACTTTGGAATACATTAACTTTCTCACTCCACTTTACTCGTCTCATATCCACCACCTCTCTGCAGAAGCTTCTTTAATTGGGCATGAATATCCTTTTGATTGAGACAGCCCTCCACTACGGACATTGTTTCTCTATTCAGTCTCTGCCAACTGCCATGTGCTCTACTAAGGTCTCTGTGCTGCAGCCCCCTGCTTTACAACAGAATGTGTCCTTGGCCTCCGGGCTTTGAAACAGGGCAAGATATCTGCGGCGAAATGAAGCCGAGGTCAAGCTGAATCCTGAACTGGTCAAACAAAGCAATAGTTTTGTGTTTATGATATGTGCAATAAAGAGGCTGTAATGACATCAACAATAATAACAAACAACAAGCAAACAGCTGGTGTCGCCTGCTCTTTCTTCTGTCTCCATGTCTGTTCTGCTGAGGAAAAGCATTCAGTGTGTGTCTGTGTCTATTAATATCAGCTCAAATCTAAACGTTGAATACAAGTGTAGATGTGTCTCTACGGCGCCATTAGCAGCCCCTCACCACCACTGACACACACACCATGTATACATCACTTCAGGGGACATTACATTGACTTAAATGCATTTCCTGGAGACTTATCCTAACCTTAACCATAACCAACACATGCCTAACCCTAACCCTAACCCTAAGCCTAACCAAGTCTTCACCCTAAAATTAATTATTCCCCTTATGGGGACCTCCATTTTGTCCCCATAAGGGAGGCAAGTCCCCACACGTGACTGTGTAAACAGATTTAGGTCCCCACAAGTATAGTAATGCTAGGCCACACACACACACACACACACACACACACACACACACACACACACACACACACACACACACACACACACACACACACACACACACTCTATTCATAGCGTGTTGGCAAATGTTGAAAGACGTCTTTAACACTCATGCGTAATCTGTTCCCTAAGTGAAGGCACTCCAATTTAACCATCTACTGGAGTGCTCACTGCCTTAGGACAATGCACCCCAGTGTGTAGGCTCGATCTCCTCGAAAAAGACTGAAAGACAAAAATAAACAAAGAAATAACTCAGATTTCTGTCCTTAGCTGTCAGGTTGTTGATTGATCTCGTGAAGATACTGCAGATATTTTACATATTATCTCATGTAATTCCTGCCCTTGGCTCTTACTCCTGGCTCCACCATACTGCGTACACTTCCTACTTTTGCAGAACTACATGTTGCCTCTGCTCTTGTAGCAAGGCGGTGGTTGCCCTCTGGTGTTGGGCTCAGGTTATTACACATAGATGGCATTGCTATTAATCAAGTATACATGTAATTCCCTATTAAACACCACTCCATTAGACACACCATGCATGTTAACTTGGCTAGAAGTGGCTTGCTTGAATATAATCATGTAAAAAGACATCATCGCAAGTAACAGCCCTACATTCAAGATCTACTTGAGGAAAAGTACAGGATTGTAGTCAGTAAAATGTCCTTTAAGTATCAAAACTAAGAGTACTTGTTATGCAGAAAATGATGTCAATTAAAAGAAACTCATTTAATGAACATTGTGAAAGTAGCTATTTACTACTGTGGAGTACTAATCCAAGAACTCACTGTGTATGAGAAAAACAGCACATTGCTTAACTATGATGTTAGAGAAACATCATTTTTGGTTCTGAAAGCGAGCAATTTCCATCAAAAGAGGACATTTTGAAATTATGTGAAATGTATCAAAAGGACAAACCAGTCAGTTAATGTTTTGGACCAGAAAAAAGGCACTTAGTCCTCGAGGATTTTATTTTTTTGGCATTACATTGCTTGAAATCTTGAAATCTATTTCTCACCCACAATGCCACTCATCTGTCTCCAAGCCTTGCACAGGATTTCCCAAAATAATCACTTGGCAAGAGAATCAAACTGTCTCTGTTTATACATAAATACATCATAATAATTTATTTGACCGACATACACACTCACAACCACAACTTCACCCGCATAATATGACATCATTTTCAATATGTCTGCATTACAACAATATCAACTAAGCAGAAAAAACAAACAATGAGAAGGTAGAACCTCAAACTGGACAGAATATAGCAGTCTGTGTAAACGTCAACGTGAGATGAAAACACTCACCATTCTAATTCTGATGGTGAATGACAACATGGCTGTCTAAAGACATTAGACACGACACAGAATGGTAGAAATTAGAAAGACAGAACATCAATCAAATAGGTCCTTTTCTTAACCTGAGCTCTTCTAACTCATTGTCACACTTTGAATCAGAATACAACCAGAGAGGGTCTATCTCACACACCTGCCTCCCCACACTCTGCTTTCAGTGGACGGCTCTGTCGTACCCAACTTTAAGGCCACCATAATTGTTCTGCCTTCTCTGAACCTGGCTCTCGGCGCATGACGTGTGTGTGTATATATATGCATGTATGTACACACAGTTGATTATCCAGGTACCAAAGCTCGTAAAGGGGGTGGTTGGCTAAAGCGGTTGTTCCGTGAAAAGTCTCCTGAGGGTCCAATCTCTCCCCTCATCTCACCAGCTTTCTAGCTCCACACCAACGCTTTAGATTGAGATGAGTTCAGCTGCACATGTTCATACTTCTCTCCGTTTCCCTGAAATCAAAAAAACAAACCGAATCATTTCTCAATACCACACTAAGGCGTACTGTCTTACTGTAAAAGAAAATGATGTCATATTATGTGTGACTCTCACCTTGGATGCTATGGCTTTCAGTTTTCCAAGTAGTGATGGTTTTGTGTACACAACTTCATCCTCCATGTCTCCTTCATTCTCTCCCTCCATCATAGCACAGCTGTCAGCTCCAGGCATCTCACACTCTTTGTTGGCAGACATCACCAAGCGGGAGTACTTGTACGCCAACCTAGCAGAGCAACAAGTGATAATATAAATACTGTGGAGGGAAAAAAAACTTTTGTCCGTATGAAAACTGACAAAAGCTGATATGTGACAGGTAAAGAATGGCAAGAGGGAAAGGTATCGAAAAACAGGAGTACGGAGGAGAGTAAGAAGTAAAGTAAGTTAAAAAGAAATCAATCAGGCGGGAAAAGAAGGGAAGAGATTAAAAAAAGATAAGACATTAATAAACTAGGCATGAAGGCAGAAAAGAGTAAGTGGCATGGAGTATGGAGGAAAGAAAGAAGGAAAACATAGGAAGGAAGACAATAAGTGGATAAAGTAAAAAAGGTCGACGAGTTTTAAAAGAAATAAAAGGGGAAAAAGTAAGTGGGTCAATAGGAAAAGAAAACTAAAGCAAATAAATAAATAAGGGGATGGAGAGAGGAAACAAGTGTTCAGGAAGAAAAAAAGGGAACTGTACCTTTTGTTTTTCTTCCAGAAGTAGCAGGTGAGGGAGACGAGCAGCACTGCGGTGAAAGCCCCAATCGCTCCACCCAGCCGAACCCAGAACTCCATACCAGCACAGGGCAACGTTTTCTTTTCAGGCAAGGCCATACCTCCCATACACAGCTTTGGTTCAGTCCACACATACAGCAGGTCCTGAGGATGAACATGCACACATAATGAATCCAATAAACCACTGAGCATACACATGTTGCTCACCAGCAGTCAGAAACCCTTAGGAGACTTCAAATGGCTTAACTCAAGCACTCTGAATTTCAAGTGCTGACTTCCATTGGTAGGGGTGTTGTTATCAGTACTGGCTGGGGGTTCAAAATACAGTCTAAATTCTACACAGCCAATAGGATGTTGGCGTAAACACTCTTAAAATAAGCAGTCAGTTCATTGTTTTTATTTGAACTCCAATATCCTTTACTAGAAAGGAACACAACAGCACTTTTTCAACCTGTCCACACCCACCTGTTTTCCTCCCTTGCACGCTCCCTCTATCTGATGGTAGTCTCTCTCTGTGCATGTAGGACAGGCTCCTGAGCTCTCCCATAAGAAGTCAA